TGTGTGTGTGTGTGTGTGTGTGTGTGTGTGTGTGTGTGTGTGTGTGTGTGTGTGTGTGTGATTTTGGCAGTGTCAAGCTGAAACATTCGGTTCAGCCACATGAAGCCTTCCCGTAACACACACTGACTGATACATTTGAACAAATTAAACAGTTTTGATACAAAGTAGATACAAATTGCCAATTAAATGAACACCCGCACACAAATGACTCATTATTTTTCTCTGCCTGCTCTGCCAGTTTCCCCAGTAACCATGACAACTAGAGGCATATTTGAAAAAGACTGATAATTGTTCATGTGAAAATCTCACATGCATCTGTATGTAAGTGTATATGTGTGTGAGAGACTGAATCATACATATAATATGGCATTGAATCATTTCTTCTATGACATCTAAGCACTAAATTACACATTTATGTGTGTGTGATTTTGGCAGTGTCAAGCTGAAACATTCGGTTCAGCCACATGAAGCCTTCCCGTAACACACACTGACTGATACATTTGAACAAATTAAACAGTTTTGATACAAAGTAGATACAAATTGCCAATTAAATGAACACCCGCACACAAATGACTCATTATTTTTCTCTGCCTGCTCTGCCAGTTTCCCCAGTAACCATGACAACTAGAGGCATATTTGAAAAAGACTGATAATTGTTCATGTGAAAATCTCACATGCATCTGTATGTAAGTGTATATGTGTGTGAGAGACTGAATCATACATATAATATGGCATTGAATCATTTCTTCTATGACATCTAAGCACTAAATTACACATTTAAGGGGATTTATGAGTTCATATAAGTTGCACAGATTTAGTAATTAAAAGTTTGTGCATGTACGATTTTAAAATACAAATGATTACAAATCAAAGAAATAATAATTAAAAATAAAATAACATAATATAACATAAAATGTAATAATATTAATAATTATTATTTTATTATTTTGTTTAAAAATATGCCAAATTAATGTATTATATATAACATAATTAAATAAAATGGAAATAATTATAAATTATTAAATAATAACATAAAATAATAAAAAATTTAATAAATATAAAACAATTATTATTATTATTATTTCAATCAATTACAGACATATTTTTGTTTAAAACAATTATTTTTTACAATTATTTTTAATAATATTTTAAAATAATTTAATATTTATATTTTGAGTATGTGTGTGAGGCACTGAATCATACAGCATTCAATTATTTCTTGCATTAAACCACACAATAAAACTGACTAGAGGTGATTTATGAGTTCATATGTTATATATACCATCAAAGTTGCACATATTTAAAAGTTTGTGCATGTATGATTTTGTAGCCAAATCCTAATGAGCATCAGAACTGAACTGTAATGTTTTAAGCAGCTTACTTGTATTGCTCTTTATAGGTAGCATCTCAAGTACCACAGAGTTTGTGTGCGAATGTGTGTGTGTGTGTGTGTGTTTGCTAAGTCAATTACATCCTTGCCGACAGGTCAGCTGCAGAAATCAACCCGGGGTTAAACTTAATACAAAACACACACATCAAATCACAACACACACTTCAGTCGGGTATCGGGACAGAGAAGGACAGTCACCTCAGTAATGAAACTAGTGCAAACGAGCACACACACACACACACACACACACACACTCAGGGTGCAGATGGCATCATTGTGGGCAAACTCATTTGACACACTGTGCGCTTGTGTGGAGGGACTGATGACCTCACAGCTGGCTGCGACGTGATTGGCTGAGACTGTAGCCATGGCGACAGCATTGGAGTAGTAGGGGCTTATGGGGGATTCCGAGGAACTCTACTGAAAATGATACATTGTGTGTTTGTGTGTTGAAGGCTCACAGTACTGTTTCATTACAGTATCGGCTTAGATGTTTCTCCTAAATTACGTTAGGATAAATAAAATATAAATGCAAAAAAAGTACTTTTTTATTCAGTCCGTGATGAGAAATTTTTGCGTTTATATATTGAGATGCTGGGACACTAGCATGTCCTGAGATATTGTTGAGATCTCGTCTGAAACTCTAGAGATGTCAGATTATTGGCAGTGTTGTTGAGGTTAAAGAAAACTAAAACTGAACCTAAATGAAAACATTTTTTTCACTGAAATAAAAACAAAAATTAACATTACTGGGGAAAATTGCTAATTAAACTGACTCTAAATGCAATCTACTGACTCCAAATGTAAAATATAAAATTTAAAAAAAGATTATAAATGAAATAAATTATAATAATAATAAATATAATAAAATGAAAACAAATAAAAATGACATTAAATTAAAAATAAAATACAATATAATAATGATTAATAATGAAACACGGCATAGTATAAAACTTGATACCTTTACAACTCAATTAATTTAACATGCAAGAGCTGTGCTGAGAAATATAATACTGTTAAATTATGTTAATATATTAACTTTATTATTAGCGGCCCTAAAACACTAAAACAAAAACAACTAAATAAATTAAAACTAGAAAATGCCATACAATTAAAGTGAAACAATAATAGAGTGAAAACTATCAGCTACGGTAAATTGAAAAAACAATAATAATAATAATAATAATAATAAAACAATGATTGAGTAGATACTAAATCTAAGTTAAAACTGTAAAACTAAAATAAAAAAATAATAGTATGAAAAGTATAAAAAACTAAAAAAAGGCAAGTGAAAAATAAAATACAAATGAAAAGTAAACTGAAACGATAATAGAGTGAAAACTATCAACTAAAGTCAATTGAAATATACATGAAAACTAAATTAAAACAAAAATAATATAATGATAGGCTAAAGAGAAAACAGAAAATAGATCAAAAAGACAAACTGAAAACAAAATAAACATTAAATACTAAAACTAAATGAAAAGTGTAAAACTAAAACTAAAAAAAGACTTATTAATAATAATAGAAATGAAAACTAAATCAAAACTACAAATACTGGAGTCTTTTT